TTTGTACTCTTGAGCCTAGGATAAACCACTATATTTGATTTAAGATAATGTTTTCCTTTGTCTTTCAACACTTTCATGTACTCCTCTGAATCTACGAAGACTTGATCTACCACAACTCTTGGAATTGGTTTCTCATTCGAAACATCATCCTCATCACTCACATAGTCCTCAACCACAACAGTATCATAAGAATCATAAATTTTGGATGTCGAAGGTTGATCACTATTTACTTTCGACATTGAATCATTACATTCTTTACCTTTAGCCACTGAATCAACATTAATGTCAGACAATCGTGAGCAATCGACACATTCCTCTGCCTCAATTTCACTGATATTGTCAGGATTATCTTAGATATCAACAAAATTTTGTTGAGAACCAAGTGTCGATTTCTCAGTCATGTTCAAAATCTTGACTTGTTCATTTTTGGTTAAAGTTTCATTCACAATTTTTACAAGATCATCAACATTCAAACATTCATTTATATTTAGAATACCATATGCGTAAGAATCATTTGGAATTTTATCATATTCAGCTATATTACTTTCACAGTCATATGTTGTTTCATCAAATTGTTCTCTTTCAAACGAATGGAAAGGAAGCAATTTCCAATGATGTTCATCACATGCCAGCTGAATGATAAAATTTTGTTAGTTTAACATACAAACGCTTAGCATAATTACAATATATGTTTCTTTGTTTAATAAGCATCGAAATGTCCATTCTAAGTGAATCTCTATATATTAAAAGATTTTTTATTCTAAGATCAAGAGATTCCACTAGTCCATTCTTTTCTTCGAGTCTATTTCTAGCTTCATATAATTGGGATTTGGACTTTTCTGCTTCACTACTCATGGAGATTAACATGTCATTAAGATAAGCACACTATTATCAAACTCAGACAAAACATCATTATAAAAAGATGAAGGAATTTTAAATTAGTTAAGAAGTTCACACACCTTTTCTGTCATTGGTAATTTAGTCGAGTCTGTGGACACGAAACACCTTACAGTAATCTCATCTTCATAACCCGAAACTTCTTTCTCGTTTTCATCTTCTTCCACTTTCACATACATTGCCTCATGAGTCAGATGACACATCTCATTATCATCCGATCTAGAAGACCATATTCGATATATTCCTTCTTCTTTGTTATCTCCTTTAGCAATCAGAGAAACACCCTTTGTTCAAGCTCGAATATCCTCCTGCTTCTCAGCATAGTAAGCCTCATCCTTAACCCCCTCCTTCTTTTCTCTTCTTTCTTCCTAAGCATGCAATCCTTAGCCAAATGATTCGACTCATTGCAGTAGTTACAGTCGAAACCTGAGTCTCTTTTTAGTTTCAACTCCTTCTTTTTCTCATATGAACCCTTAACATTAGGGGTGTGCGCGGTGCAGTTTGGTGCGGTTTAGAGCCAAAACCGCAAACCGTACCGTATATGCGGTTTGAGTTATTTAGAAACCGCAAATCGCATCGCGAACGTTCAAAACCGCATTATGCGGTGCGGTTTGGTGCGGGCGGTTTATGCGGTTTGACTAATTATTTACTTTAAATTTAATGATAATACTATCATTGTCATCACTAACGGCTCACTAAGTGGTCATTAAGAAATTTGGTGGTCAAATAATTGTGGTCATTAACTACTTATGAATATACATAAGTTAAGAAAACATAGTGACCATAAAATAATGGTCACTGAATCTTAGTTGAAAATGAATTTGAGATAAAAAAATATGGTAACTGCGTTAAATTTTGGATTAATTAAGATTACATTTTAAAAACTTAATATAATGTCACTAATTTAGGACATGTCAAAATATTTTAGAATATATATATATATATATATATATATATATATATATATATATATATATATATATATATATATATATATATATATATATAGAGAGAGAGAGAGAGAGAGAGAGATAGGTTCAGGTGTTTAAAATATTTATTGTGTTATTGTATGCATAAATGTGGGCCAATTAAAATTAAATAAAAAATTAATTAATTAATGAAATAAATAAGGGTAATTTAGTAATTTGTTTAGTAACTTCTAAAAATAATCGCTATAATCATGGTATTGACTTTTAACCTAATCTCTCCAGTTTATATCTCGTTCCCCTCTTTATCTAAAACCAAATCTTGACAGATCTACAAAATTGGAATAGACTACAAAATCGATCTTGAGTTCTACAAAAATCGATTGTCATCGATGGCGAAGAGGGTATCTCTGGGGACTGACGAGGCGGAAGGGGGAGATGGAGCAGTGGTTAAGCGAATCGATTGCCATCGAAGGCTTTGTGGTCGATGGGAATAGCAGAGAAGGAAGAATACGAGGGGAAAAGGGGTTCGTTTTCTTGGCTGGTTCGATCGTCATCAACACACGAAGAAGGAAGAAGGATTCACGAACGGAGCAGGGGAAGGACGAAGGTGGTGACAGGGGGCTCCGGTAGTGGAATGGTCGAATGCTCACAGTGGCAACAATCGATTCGGTTTGGTGGTTTAGTTGCGGTCATCGATCATCAACAGGTAAAAGAATATTCTTTTCTCTCTCTCTTTCTCTCTCTTTTTTTCCAATCAATCAAATTAGGTAAAAATGGTGTTTTGGGATGTTGTTTTTTTTATCATGAATCTATGAAATGAACAAATTAGATATTTTGGGTTTGCTTTTGACAGAAAATCGATGGGTGTTTGTAGAGGTGATTGGGTTTGTTGTTTTCACAGGAATGGGAGAAGGAAGAACACGAATTGGAAAATGCCCTTTTTTGTTGGTTTTCTGGGTACATAAGGGCAAGAACAAGATTGTTCTTGTATTTCTTGACTGGAATCCATGTAGAATGAAAGGAAACATGGGGTTCATTAAGAGGAAACGTAGAAGAGAGGGGTGAGTGGGGTTGATCTTGTGACAACATCTATTGTGAAAAGGAAACACCTTTTCCTTTGGGTTTGAGTGTAGTAATGTCCTGAAAACCATAATGAAATTTTGCATTTCTTCCAATTACTTTTTTTAAGGTCATCTGTTTTTACTGGTATCAAGTAAGAGTACTTGGAATTTTCACTGAACTTTAATTTTAAGTTGGATTATTAGTTTGATATTTCTTTTTGATTATCAGAAAAGGATCTGGAGGTTAGAACTGGTAAAGGAGAAAAGCAAAAGCAGGGGCTGCAAGTTTTCGTATATTAGATAAGGAGGATAAATGTGTTCTCACAGAATGGTATTCTTGTAGAACATAATTCTCGTCTGGTATTAGTCTCACAAAATGTCAATCTCGTAAGAACGGTTGGAATCAATCGATTATGGACCATTGAAGAAGATCAATGACATTTGTTCACGAATTGTATGGAATCACGAATTCCAATTCTGTTGGAATGAAATCATGAATTCTAATTCTGTTGGAATGGATTATGGATATTTTATCACTGATTTATGCATGTTCTACAATTTTTGGTTTTCTCACTGATTTATTTTTCATTTGCTAATGCATTATTGGAATCTAAACTAAAATTTGGTTTTGTTTTCACACAAGTTGATGCTTGAAGAACGGACCACAAAATTGAAAGTGATTCTAAGCAACATTATTCTTTTAAAATGTATTTGTGTCGTTGTTAGATTTTGATGTTTTCTTTTCCGTTTTGAAAGTATTTTTAGTTTTATTCTTTAACAATAAATGTAATTCTTAACAGTTGTTACCCGTATTCTATAAAAAATAATGTATTTTTTGTTTTTATTCTTCAATTGATTGTTCAAGAATTTGTTATTCTACAAGAAGTTTTTAAAGTCATGATCAAGAAATAGGTTCAAGAATATTTTTATTATTTATGGTTCAAAAATATTTTTATTTTTGAATATACTATAAACATATTCTGTCAGAATGTCCGAATTAAAAGAATTATAATTCGTAAAATCGGATTTTTAAAATTAACAGAATCTATGATCCATTAAAATATGCAATTTTCCTTTATTAAATCTATATTAATTGTCTAAAGTACCATTGTAATTAAATTAGATGATATTTTCAATTATATTTAATTCAATAATATATATTAATCACTTTTCTTAAAATAAGTAAAATTGATTGACCCATATTTATGCATACAATAACACAATAATTATTTTGAATAGAATAACCTAAGCCTATATATATATATATATATATATATATATATATATATATATATATATATATATATATATATATATATATATATATATATATAGGTTTAGGTTCTATGGAAAACAAAAAATCCTAAAAAAACTCTAAAAATCATAAAAATACATAAAAAAAAATACTTAGAGATCACAAAATTTTTTTTATAAAAAATCGCAGCTTTTTCTTAATATTCGCTGAAAAAAAAATAAAAAATCAATTTCTTTTTTTATAAATTTTTTTTTCAAATTTTTTTTCAGCAAATTTGTATAGAAAGCTGCGATTTTTTCAAAAAAAAAAATTCAAAAACAAGTTTTGTGATTTCTAAGAATTTTTTTTTATGCATTTTTATGATTTTTAGGGTTTTTTTGTTTTCCAAATAACCCTTCCCCATATATATATATATATATATATATATATATATATATATATATATATATATATATATAAAGTTGTTGAGAAATAGTTAAAATTTGATTTGATCGTTTGTATACACAAGCTATACTAAAGAGAAAATAATTTTTAATAAAAACAAGTTTGTGATGGATTTTATATCAACGTAGTTGGGAAATCAAATCCTATCACGAGTACAAACCCCATCAGCGGTCCTGAATTTCAAAAAGGGTATGTACATCACTAACAGTAAGTTCGTAACCATATATTGATGAGAAGTGGGTGGAAATTTACGTCGACATAATACTTAGTTTCTTACTTTCTTTATTACCCGTAAAAAGAAAACGAAACCACGACACTAAAACTCTACATTGTGGGATAAATTCCAAAATATCAAATAAAAAAATTCAAACCGAAGGAAGGCCAGACGTCAAACGACCATTACCTTTTACAGAAATGGCTACCACCGACTCCGACGGCAGTAAACAGCTTCATGTGGTGGTGTTCCCATGGCTTGCCTTCGGTCACATCATCCCTTACCTTCAACTTTCCAAATCAATAGCTCAAAAAGGCCACAAAGTCTCTTTTCTTTCCACAACTCGAAACATCAAACGTCTCCCTTCCAACCTCTCGCCACTTATAACCTTCGTTCCATTCACTCTTCCCCGCCTTCATCAGCTTCCGCAGGATGCAGAGGCCACCATGGATGTCCGCACTCAAGATATTCACTACCTCAAGAAGGCTTTCGATGGTCTTCAACCGGAGGTCACCCGGTTTCTCAAGGCAGAGTCCCCAGACTGGATTATTTATGATTTTGCTCCCTACTGGTTGCCGGAGATCGCAGCTGGACTTAACATCTGCCGAGCCTACTTTCCGTTAGTCAACGCATGGTTCATGGCTTTTGTAGGATGGTCGCCGGAGGACATGATAAATGGTTCCGACTACCGGACGTCAGTGGAGGACTTCCTAGTCCCACCTAAGTGGGTCCCCTTCCCTTCGAAGATATGCTATAAAAGGTATGAGGCTAACTGGATGGTGGGCAGTGGTTCTCCCGATGCTTCTGGGGTTTCCGATGCATATCGTAGTGGGATGATGTTGAAAGGGTCTAATTGTGTGTTGATGAGATATTCCTATGAATTTGAACCCCAATGGTTAACCCTTTTAGAAGATCTACATCACCTCCCAGTGGTTCCAGTGGGCTTAATGCCACCGGTGGAGGTAGAAGATGGGAAAGATGACACGTGGTTACCCATCAAGAACTGGCTCGATGGTCAACAAAAGGGTCATGTGGTGTACCTTGCGTTAGGAAGTGAGGTTATGCTGAGCAAAACAGAGCTCGGGGAGTTAGCTCTAGGTTTGGAGCTCTCTGGATTGCCATTTTTTTGGGCTTTTAGAAAACCGGCGGGTTCCACCGAATCAGACTCGGTTGAGTTGCCAGACGGGTTCTTGGAGCGAACCCGTAACCGTGGAATGGTGTGGACAAGTTGGGTGCCCCAGTTACAGATACTGAGTCATGACTCGGTGGGTGGTTTCTTGACTCATTGTGGTTGGAGCTCGGTTGTGGAAGGGCTAATGTTTGGTCATCCTCTAATCATGCTTCCATTTTTGGTGGACCAAGGATTGAATGCTCGAGCCCTGGTTGACAAAAGCGTAGGAATTGAGGTGCCAAGAAATGAGCAAGATGGGTCCTTCACCAAGAACTCGGTGGCCGAGTCACTGAGTTTGGTAGTGGTTGAAGATGAAGGGAAAGTCTACAAGGAGAATGCAATGGCATTGAGCCGAATATTCGGTGACATTAACTTGCAACAAAAGTATACAGATGACGTTGTTGACTATTTAGGAAAACATAGGTACTGCCCTTGAATGTCTTTATGATTTGTTTAAATGGTTGAATAAATGAAGTAACATGGTTTTGGGTCTGTTTAAGTTATTAAATAACAACCACGACGAATGATTAAAGTGTTTCGTTGAAATAGTAAAATGTTTTGTTCAATGACTATATCTCTATCTTGTAAGAAAAAAAAAAGTATTTAAAAACGTTTTGTTTTTCTGATTTGTATTTATAGAGATATAAGGAGAAATTTACTACACAAATTGATTAAATTGAAACTTTGGGAAGAATCTTAGCAAACCAAGATATGCTTTGACGATGATCACACTAGTGAATAGTGATATATGTTGCAACTTGCATATAACGTCACTACCCTAGTAGGGGTGAGCATCCGAAGTTTAGGCGGTTTAAGGTTTATACAGTTCTGGTTACATGGTTTGGGGTGATCATCAAACCGACCGATAAGAAGATGACTGAACCATAGAAAGTCCGGGTTAATAGGTTTCGGTTTAGGTGGGTTCGGTTTGGATCATCCACGTAACTTAAGCCCAATGCCATTTTTTGGCATTTGACATTTGTGTAAATTTTAATAGTTTAGAAATCCATTTGTAATTAACATTTGTTAACTCTTAAATTAATACGACGTGGGACTTGAAGACGGATGGAGAGGAAGGAAGATGGATGGACGGAAATCTGAAAACAAAGACTGTCGGAGATATCGGAGATCACCTCTTTCTATGCTACAAACTTCCCTTTAGGTACCTCGGTGCATCGGCTTCGCAGCTTGTGCGCTACCATGGGAAAATTGGTTGATGTCTACATGCCGGTGAGAAGGAACGTGAAAGGGCAAGAGTATGCCTTCATCAAATACAAAGGAGTTGCAGATATTGAGGCTATGGAAAACAGCTTAAACGAAATAACAGTAGGGCCTAAGAAACTGATGGCAAATCTATCTAGACACCCCAGGAAACCCCCGTTGGATGCCGCCGCTCCTCCAACTCTCAAGGAGAAAAATATGAATGTTCAACCCCTTCGCAACGTCTACTCTGGGCTAAGGGATGGGAGATCGTTTTTTGATGTCTCTCGTGGACCCACTGTACCCCAGCCACCTCCCACGATAAACCCGTCGGCCTCTTCCGTTAAGCTGATTTCATTTAACAAGTTGTGGTTGGAGAAGAGTGTTTTGATTGGAGAGGTCAAGGATTTCGAAACCTTGGAAAATATACAATCGTTATTAGGACTTGAAGGGTACGGCAACATTTTGTGCACATATGTTGGAGGGTTACAAGTCATCATACACTTCAACAGATCAGATATGGCGGATAAATATATCCTCAATAAGGGTTTGTGGCAGAAAATGTTTAATTGGTTGGTGTACGCCAGTAAGAAGGAACCAAGATTTGAACGGATTGCATGGCTAAAGATAATGGGTGTTCTGCTCCTGGCTTGGGGGGATACCTCCTTCGAAACCATTGCCGTAAATTACGGAAGGATCATTGAGCATGATAACAACCTAGAGACATGCATCGACATATCATATGGGAAGGTTCGGGTGATTACTTCTATCAGGAAGAAAATCAATGAGGAATTTTCAGGTTCGATAAACGGCATATCTTACAAAATTGGGGTTTCGGAGATCGAAGAGGACTGGTACCCCTTCAAACCTTTCACCACCTACCATCTGGCTGAGTCGGATGACGACGAGGATAGAGGTGATGAAGACGAAGAAGGAGCAGATGATGACGGTAATAAGAATAGAGGGATCTCTGAAACAATGGGAATCGACGATCTTGAGGACGGTAAGATTGACCAGAATGTAAAATCCGGTGAAATTCCGAGGATGCGGGAGCCTGATGACACATCGCCGGTAGTGGTTGCTGAATCGACTTCCTGGGATGGCGGGAATGCAAGTTCCAAAAAAATAATAACCGAAGACGTTGAGTCAAACCCACACGCGCATATCCCAATTGTGGATTCATCTGTGTCTCGATTCTTGGGCGAGACTTGGGTCGTGGGCCCTTCCTATGATCCAGCGGCTATTGGGCCGTCTACCCCACCTGACGTTAATCGCAATCTGGCTTCTAATACTAGCCCAGTAGATGAAAATGGATCCCGGGTCAAAAGAAGGCGAATTAATAAGTCAAACTCCAAATCCAGATTTCAACCTTACTTAAAATCGAATCCCCTTTCCAGTGCTCAAACTCGCAATATGCCCCCCACGTTGAGTGTTGGGAATACTGGTAACTTGCAGGTGAATGAACCCTCAATCGATCTTAACAAAATTTCGAACCTTGGTATGGATTCGACTTCTTCCCCTTTCCAGTGCTCAAACAAACTATAAAGGTTTGCAGTGTGTTTGTTTTTCTGAAGCTCTTCACCACACAGACTTGGCCCAACCTCTTCTCACGTCTGCGAATTGTTTTTAACCTAAAAAAAAACGCGTCCCTCTTTTCTATCCGCCTCCATGGTCGCTTTCTTACCTGGTCCATATTTCTCCACCCGGCAAACCCTTGACTGCTCCATCTTCAATCCGTCGACCATCACCACCGATCAGCACCGCCGTCGCGAGCATCCTCTCCGATTGAAGGCGTCCAGCGACCAGGCGACAGGCGACATCTCGACCAGCCGACATTGCGATCCAGCCCACCTGCGAACAACAGGTTTCGACATTTTCCTTACGTTTTCTTTCTTTTTTTTTTTTTTTCAGTTTCAACATGAAATTCTCCATGATCAGTTCCATCAGTTTCGAAATTGCACTGTGGAAATAAGTTCCATCTGCTTAATACATGATCAGATTAGGTTTTTATATATAAAAGATTAGGATTTTGCACTATGGCGTATTTTGCTTTTGCTAAAGATCAATAATTTAAGAAAGTATTGTCTTTTCTTTTCCTGTTTATATCTCACAAGTAGTGCAGAAGCAAAAATAATCATATGCATCGGTGACTTCTAATATCCACATTTACGACTAGAGCACCTATGATTTACCTCTATTATTTATGATTTCCTCCAAAAAAAAAAAAATCCGAACACCTTTATTTTTTAGCCATAAGTCATATATAAACATAATCCTAAATGTATAAGACTTATTAAAACGAATAAAACATCAAATATTTACATAAAGTTTTCAGAAAAACTAGAGCCGAGAACTCAAAAGTATGAAAATAAACGTTATTTTTAGATTTTAAGGTCTTACATGCTTTTTAACACACAGTGATTCATAGCCCAATATAGATAATTCAATGTAGTACTACTAGTCTTGGTTAAATCACAGGTTACCTTGATTACCTCTCATTTCTTTGCTCAAATTGTTAATCTCTTAATTTTTGGCTAAAAATTGCAAAGACATTAACGATTTTTACTATTTTTTATAAATTCCTTTAAATATAATATATTAACATTGCTGCCTTCTTTAAAAGATATGATTATTTTTGGAAAATCACACTTTAAAACACTCTTTATGAAATAATGATGTTAGTTGTTGATTGTTTATTGTTATTTGGTTTTGAAAATACTCTTTATTGTTTCAAATCGTTATTTTTTTTGTTGGAATGTGTATGATATGCAATACCTTATGAATGCTACAATACCTTATGAAATTATTATTGTCTATGATATATTGCTCATTAGAAATAGGAGAAAAACAACAATGGACCAATGAGCATTTAAAATGCTTATTGGATACTTGTATTGAAGAAGTAGAGAGTGTCGGTAGAAAAGGATTGAGTTTGCAGAAAGATTCATGGATAAGGCTTGGAAGAGTTCTTAAGGAGAAATTTGGGTTTGAGTTGACTCAAAAGCAAATGAAAAACGCATATGACAATCTGAAAGCCAAATACACAGGATGGGTGTATTTAAAAAACAAAATTGGTAACATATACAACTCTCAAACAAACACTTTTAACTTAACAACCGAGGAGTGGGATGATTTTAAGAAGGTATATATACACATATTAAACATTTACGTTTGAAGTTGCCAAATATTCTTATACTATTTTTTGTTACATTTGGGTTTAGGGGCATCCGAAGGCTGCTTCATTGAGAACAATTCCACTGCCTTTTCCAGATCTTTGTGCACGTCTTTTTGATGGAAATAGTGCCACTGGTAATTGTAGGAGTTACTCAACCCAATCATCATCAGTAGCTGGAGCATCCTCTTGTCGTGTTCCACCACTTCAGATTACCGCCACCCCTTTTCATGTAATAGATGACTATGTTTTTGATGATGATCGGCCATAATCAACGTTACGTGATTATCAAGCGGAGATTTCAACACTCGAAGCAAACAGTTCATAAATTATTTTATGAAGTGTTGGACAAAATGATGCTTTTCGCACAAGATGTTATAGTACCAACTTCTTTTAATCCGAATCCAAATATTCCAGGACATAATAGGAGGCTACGACGGATTTTCAAAGGGGCGGTTGGTGCACTTGATGGCACTTTGATACATGTTGTTGTCCCTGCTAAGAAACAAGACTTATATAGAAGTAGGGGAAAGGGAGATTGCTACCAAAACGTATTGGCAATTTGTGACTTCAATATGATGTTTACATTTGTTGTGGCCGGGTGGGAAGGAGTAGCGCATAACTCTAGAATATTATCAGAAGCAATAACCGATCCACAAGCATCATTCCCGTTTCCACCACCCGGTAAGTTTTTGTTTTTTTTAAAATACTCTTATCTTAGTTTGAAAATTGATTAGTGTTTTGCACTTTTTACAGACAAGTATTATCTTTGTGATGCCGCGTATGCACACACTCGAGGATTTATGGCCCCTTATCGTAATGTGAGGTATTGGCTTGGAGATTTTCGTCAAAGACGTGCATTGACCAATAAGGAAAAATTTAACCATGGACATGCAAAACTTCGGAATGTCATTGAGCGTGCTTTTGGTGTTTTGAAAGCACGCTTCCCTATATTGAAGAGGATGGCACCATTCCCGTTTGTGACACAAAGAAACATTGCCATGACATGCTTCGCGCTTCATAATTTTATAAGGAGAGAAGGACTGAGTGATGAGTATTTTGCACGATACGATGAACCCAATGTCTCGTTTCGGAATAACAATGTGGTCGTTGATGATGATGAAGACGAGATTCCAACACATGGTACTGCAGCAGACCGTGAATATATGACTCAGTTACGGGATGAAATTGCTGATCAGTTGATGCACAATATAGATTGAATTGTTTTAAATGAAATTATTATTGTAAAACCAATTTTTTTTTTATTGTATGACTAATTTGGTTGCATGAATTTTATTTTCAATGTTATAAGACTATTGTATGACTAATTTGGTTGCATGAATTTTATAAGACTATTATTATTAAAATTTTGGTGTTGAAATTTCATTTTAAGTTTGTAAAATCATTTTATTTAAAATTCAGTTTATTTCAGCAGCATGCAGACGTTAAAAAACAAACAGTCTTCTTATTGCAGACTGCAGACGTTTGGTCCACCTCTTCTGCTGCAGAGGCTTGCAGATGTGGTCCGCAGACTGCAGACATTTTGGCTTCAGAAAAACAAACAACACCTTATTATTGTCCTTACACAGCGACGACTTTCAACAAATTCATTTGCGATGTGGGGTTAATGGAACATAACTGGGGGGGTCGACGATTTACCCACCTTTGGGATGGCGGGGCCAAACTAAGCGAGTTAGACATATTCTTATGTTGTGCCAATTTCATCGACCTCTTCCCCTCTGCCTCTGTCACCGCTCTACCCCACGAATACCCTGATCACTCTCGCATCACCCTCGTCACGAAAACCTTGAACTTCGGCACCCATCCTTTTAAATTCTTTAACACGTGGTTGTTCAGAAAATGGATCGATGAGGTGGTTATAAGGGCATGGTATTCTTACTCTCTATATGACACCCCAAACATGAACTTTGCTGCTAAACTAATAATTGTTAAAATTGCACTAAAAAGATGGAGGAGAGCAGAAATGGAAAAGCAGTTGAAGTTGCACTCTGATCTAAAAGGGAGGTTGCGGGAGATTGACAGGGTAGCTGAGTCTCGTGCCCTCACTGTACAGGAGACCACCGAATGGAAGGAAGGGAAAAAGAAACTATTAGAAATGGAAAACATTATGAGGCTTGACCTTAAACAGAAATCTAAGATCAAATGGATTAAGGATGGGGACGAAAACAACAAGTTCTTTCATGGCGTAATTAAAGGTAAGAACAGGAAAAACAAGATTCACAGTCTCATGATTGATGGAATTTGGCAGACGGATGTGGAAGCTATAAAACTGGAGACTTGGAGGTTTTTTAAAGATAAGTTCACAGAAAACCATCCGTCGAGACCTGTGTTCATTAACCCTAACTTCCGAAGGATGGGGCTTGAGGAGTGCATTGAACTTGAAAAACCATTCACTGAGAAAGAAGTCAAAGATGCAATATGAGACTGTGGGGGCGAAAAGGCGCCAGGACCTGACGGCTTCTCCTTTAAATTTATGAAGAAGTACTGGGGCTTAATGAAGGAGGATATCATGCTTTTTATCTAACATTTCAAGAACTGTGGTAAATTGGGGAAGGGATGCAACTCTTCATTCATTACTCTCACGCCAAAGGTGAAAGATTTGTTGACTCTCAACGACTATAGGCTAATTAGTCTTATCGGGTCCCTTTTTAAGATCATTTCTAAATGCCTTACTTCTAGAATTAAGAAAGTCATCATTCCTCTCATTGATGATATCCAATCAGCCTTTATTGAAAATAGAAGCATTCTAGACGGGCCACTAATCATCAACGAAGTTTGTTCATGGGCAAAGAAAACAAAAAAGAAGATGTTCCACCTTAAAGTCGATTTCAATAAGGCCTTTGACTCCATTAACTGGGGGTATTTGGATTCGACGATGGATCAAATGGGTTTTGGCACGAAATGGCGATCTTGGATAGCTGGTTGTTTAGAGTCTGCCCGTGCCTTGGTGTTATGAAACGGAGTCCCAACTGATGAATTTCCTCTTCTTTCCCCTTTTCTCTTCATTATCGCGATGTAGGGTTTAAACGTTGCCTAGAGAGATGCTTGCAACAAGGGACTCTTTCTTGGTGTCCAAATTCCTAAGTTCAACGACTGTCTCTCTCGCCTATTCTACGCAGATGATGCATTCTTCCTTGGTGATTGGTCGAGGGGGAATATCAAAACTCTTGCTAGAATCCTTCGATGCTTCCATGCTGCGTCAGGATTGAAGGTTAATTTTTTTTCTGTTGTGGTAGGTAACGGTGTGGACACCAGCTTTTGGTCAGACATTTGGCAAGGAAACTCTACTCTCTCTCCACAAAATTTCCGCTCTTATTTAAATTGGAGAAGCGTAAATCAGCCCGAGTTGAGGAGAGACAATTAGAGGTGGCCCTTCGCAATGCTTGGAGGAGGAGACCCAATAACCTGATGGAGAAGGTGGAGATGGAGCTGTTGGTTCAGATGATCAATTCTTACCAATTTTCCTCAACAAAAGACTTATGGCGTTTCACCCTAGCCCATGACGGAAATTTCCGCATTGATGTTATTAGGGAAATCATGGAGGCAGCAACTACTACTCCTTCATAAAAATCATGGAGGCAGCAACTACTACTCCTTCATAAAAATCATGGAGGCAGCAACTACTACTCCTTCATACTTTCAACGGATTTTCCTATGTGTCGCAAACCACCTTAGACAAAGAAATTCATAATGTGTGCGACACATCGAACATGAGTTCATTTTGCGTTTAATAGACACTTTCTCTATTTTCTAAATTTTGTGTTCACGTATTCAACCGCCAAATCGTTACTATTAGCATTGTCCATCGTAATAGCAAAAGCATTATCAATCCCCAAATTAAGCAAACATATTTCAATTTCTTTCCTGATTTCTATCCCTTTATGACTTGAAATAGGACAAAATTTATCATATATTTTGTTAACTTCCAATAATTTTCTATGTGATGCGTGATAAGACGCATATAGTTTATTCTTTGAATATAAGTTCAGTATCCGTTGTTAGACAAATTCTACTAATATTTTTATGAAGTGGAGCAAAAATATTTTATTTTTATTTTTAAACATGTCTAAACAATCTCTACCCACGGTAATTCTAAAAGGGATTTGAAACAAAGGTTGTGCAACCTATATTAAACGTTAAAACCTAAATTTTTCAACATGTTTGAGTGGAAGCTCGTCAATAACAACCATTTCATATAGTGACTTCCTAACTTCTTCTTGGTCAAACTTTCGAGCTACCAATTTCCAATCGTCTAACCTCCACTTTGAAAGGGTAGTCGTGTTTGAGTTTGATCATTCACTTTAATTTCTTCCAAGTATGTAACACATTTGCTTAAATGGTTCTATAAAGTGCTAGTCCCATGATATTTACTACCCGAAAAATTGTTTCATTGGTAAATTCTTTGAAATGGTCCCACATCGGAGATCTTTTCTTCGTCTTTCTTTGTTTTGCATGTTCTCCTCATTAACCTCATTCTTATCATAATAGAAATCTTAAATCCAAATTCATCTTAAAGTTACAGAACATCTAGAAACAAGCTATAGAATTTAGAAACAACATAAACAAATTACAAACATAATGAAGACATGCTATTCTTAAAAGCAAAAGTGCAATTGAAAATTAAATAAAACACAATGTCTATTTCGTTAATTTAAGAATCAAAATGCACCCATGTTAGTGTAAAAGTGACAAATAAAAACACATGATGAAAATTTTATGTTGATTCAAGAATTAGGGTTCAGGAACAAGAACAATCAGCCAATCACAAACATTTAACATTCAGGAACAAGAAGAATCAGAAATCAAATAATAGGGATAAGGTTTTGTGCTTTTGTACCGAAAAGTATGGATTATGGAATATGGAACGCAAATTCATAGGTCGAGGACGTTGCGTCAGAGGTCGAAGGTCGTGAGGGCTGAGAGTTGTGACAGTGTGAGTGGAGCATGGGTTTTGGGGACCTCGTATGAGAGGTGATTTGAAATTAAATGAAAGACTTAAAGAGGCGACGAGAGAGTAAGTCTTAATTTGTAGTATGTAAGAGTGTAACACCGATTTTCTATAGTGGATCAGTTGGTGACCTAAAGGATACAAATGCATGGTTTTTAAGGAAAACCATATGCCACGATGTGGCGCATGGAATGCCATGACGTGACATGGCTTGTACTGTGTGCATATTCTGATGGACACCACAACATGATGGCTGTAGTAGCCTAAGCCCATGATTTTTTAGGTTATATCTCCTATTTAAGCATCTTAATTCATGGATTAGGTCTTCTCTATCAACCTATATCTCCGCATTTTGAAACCCTAGCCTCCATGCATGATTGAGAGCTCGTTTGCTTGATTGAAGAACTTGTTATTGGATTTTGGTGAAGCTTGAGGAAGGAGGAAGTTCATATTGGTGCAAAGAAGCAGGGAGCTAGCTTGAATCGATCACCCTCTTCTGATTGATGAGTTATTGAAGGCATAAAGTTCATACCTTGACCTTTGATCTTCTTGTTTCAAGTTTGAGTTCATTTCGGATGATTTTGGTATGTTCCATGAATGCTCTTGGAGTTTGAGGAACTCAAGAGCTTGTTGTGGCTATCAAATGGTCATTAGGCTTCTAAAAATGAGAAAAGAGTAATGTTTGGGACTATCTTGTGTTCTTGAGCAAGTTTTAGACATATTAAGGACTTAATGGACTTAGCGTTGTAGATCTTGCTTTAGGGTGAGGTCCCAATGGATTAAGTTGGAAATTTTATCCTTTAACTCAATGAGAAGGATTGGATATGAAGTTTCGAGCCTTGATCTGTTAGGATTAAGCTCTTAATAAAGAATTGTAGAATCGGTCAGTGACCACAATGTGGCCAAGATGACCACAACGTGGTGGAGTCCAGCTTCGCGATTGTTTTGTCCGGACATGCCTACGATGTGGCCAAGAAGGGTCCACGATGTGGCAATGTCTTGTATATCGTCTATTTGGTCCTGTCATACCCACGATGTGGCCAAGAGGTCTCAACGTCACGGTGGCTGTTGACTTTTGTTGACCGTTGACTTTTGACCAGTTTGACTTTGGGTCAAACTTGGAGGATTTGGGTTGTTGATTAAGGATTCCTGTCTTGTGGTGTTAGTCGGTTCGATGGATTAATCAGTGCAAGGTGTGAGAGTGTTGTTGTGCTTTCCTAGTTCTTTAGTTTAAGTGAGTTTCTCACTATG